ATGGGGGCAGCATGGGGGGCAGTATGTGTATGGGGGCAGCATGGGGGGTAGTATGTGTGTATGGGGGGGTAGTATGTGTGTATGGGGGGGCAGCATGGGGGGAGGCAGTATGGGGGCTATGTGTGTGTGTGATCAGGGTAGGGTGGCTTTTTTTTTTTATAGTATAATATTTTTTTATTTAATTAAAATAAATATTATCCTATGTCCCCCCTCCCTTCTTACCTTTACTGGGAGGAGGGGGGACATATTTCTATCCCTGGTGGTCCCAGTGGTGATTCATTGGTGGTCAGGTGGTCAGAGTGAACTCTAGCCCGCGCTCCCGGGCTAGAGTTCACTCTCGCGAGATTTGGAGCGTTGCCGTGGTAACCGCGGCAACGCTTCAAATCTCACGAGAGGAGGACCCGGAGGAGCTGAGCTCCCGGGTCCTCCCTCTCCCTCCCCTGCCGGCTGTCAGCACAGTGTCTGCGGACCGGGGAGGGAGATCTCTGATCTCCCCTCCGGTCCGCAGGCACATTGCAGGGCTGGCACCTGCATGTGCTGCTGGCAGGGGAGGGAGACCGGCGGATTTCTCGGGGGGGGCAATTGCCCCGTTGCCCCCCCCCTGGATCCGCCAGTGCCACTCTCCACAGTATACAAACCACTCCAAGTAACTCCTGGTTTTCTAACTCCTACTTGAAAGAGTCTACTTAATAGAGGCTGCTTTCAAATAATGTGAGCAAGCTCAGAGAGTTAGGGGTGTGCCTTTATGGGGATACAAATCCCACACAGGTGTAATTAATGAACACTCCCCCAATCAATCAAGCAGCAGCACAAAAAAAAGGGGGGGAAACCAGAACACACACAAAAAGCCAGAATTTAAAAACAATTTTTTTTTTCTTTTTTAAACCTTACCAACTTTAAAGATTAAACAAAAATAAAATACAAACCACTCTCCACGGTACCCCGACCACTCTCCCAGTATACAAAACACTCCAAGTAACTCCTGGTTTTCTAACTCCTACTTGAAAGAGTCTACTTAATAGAGGCTGCTTTCAAATAATGTGAGCAAGCTCAGTGAGTTAGGGGTGTGCCTTTATGGGGATACAAATCCCACACAGGTGCAAACAATGAACATTCCCCCAATCAATCAAGCAGCAGCACAAAAAAAGGGGGGAAAACCAGAACACAAAAAAAAAAAGTAAATTTAAAAAACAAAAATATATATATATATATTTTTAAACCTTACAAACTTTAAAGATTAAACAAAAATAAAAAACAAACCACTCTCCACAGTATACAAACCACTCCAAGTAACTCCTGGTTTTCTAACTCCTACTTGAAAGAGTCTACTTAATAGAGGCTGCTTTCAAATAATGTGAGCAAGCTCAGTGAGTTAGGGGTGTGCCTTTATGGGGATACAAATCCCACACAGGTGCAAACAATGAACACTCCCCCAATCAATCAAGCAAGGTGAAATGCATTAGTGTGTTACATACTTTTTTTTTTATTTGTTTAATAAAATAAATCTGCATTGTACCAATGGACCTTTATTGGACATCTTTTTATTGGAGTAGCTGTATCTCACATTCCCAGGTGGGGGACAACCCACCTATGCTTTAAAGGACTGAGCAATCTCTATTTGCTTATCCATTGTGAGTATATTTCTCTCTTTATTTTATTTGTTTTATTAATACAGAGAACACTATTCCTGTTCTTTTATATCATTATATATATATATATATATCACTGGAGCATCATCTGGAATACACCATGTGGATTATTGAGTGCAATATATTTTCCCTATATTCTGCCTCTGCTGTTATAGACATACTACACTATATTAGTATTCCTGTCCCATTTTGTTTTCTCTCTTATATTGGCTCCATTGGGTTCCACACAAGGACTTTAATTGTTAAGCGCTGCTTCCCTACATCCCCCACTTTACTTGCATCAATGACCAGAAAGAAGAGACTCTGGTTTGGGAATGTTTTAGCTGCTGTACACATAAGGAACAAGCGCCAGAAATCTCACTTGCTGCTATAAGCTGGATTCAAACCTAAACGTACCAAAGCCAACCTGAAAACACAAAGGACCTGGTATTCGATAAGGAGGAACCCTTTGCATGCAAGAAAAAGGAAACCCCGATCTCAGCACAGACTCTTTGAAAAGCCTCTGTACAGAAAACTGTACATACTCCAACTCTGGGCAAAGAAAATAACGTAACCAAACAGCCTTTACCAAAAACATCCGTCTTGAAACTACATCAGTAAATGACAACCCGGTTATGCCACAATTCAAAATCTAAAGACTGTAGACCCACACCTCCAACTTACCAACTCACTAACCCTAAAGGCCCCCAAAAAGGCCCAACTAAAAGCCACAGAGAATTACAGGACCTCATACATGGATACGCAAACCATTCCTTAAAGAATTTTAAGACACTAGTCTCCTAGAGTCGACCAACACACTCCCATTTCTGAAATCTTTGAGAGCCTGATGGACAATGAAATGCTTTGTGATATCCTCCCACCCATTAAGCTTGAAATTTAAGCCAACAATTTACGATCAACCACCGATCGAGATGTACCCGAAGCAAACATATGACATAGAAACCTTAACAAAGTGTCTAACAGAGCCTCTGCTGAAAGATTACACTCCTGACACACCTTATTGTAAGCTGTCCGGACAGGACAATTCCTGCGATAGCATTCAGAAACCTGGGCACATGAAACAACATTAAATCTCATACACTACCAAACAAAACGTCAAGGAAGACGAACTACAGGAATAGAGGAAGCAGAAAGGCCATTTTCTGCAGTAAATGCCAACAAATATCACCTTTCAATATCGCAACTGGTGTCCCCACAAAGCTAACACCATAACTAAGGGAGATAACTCCAGAAAAGTCAAATTGCGAATAAGTGAGCAAGCCTTACACTCTTCAGGCCATGCTTCTACACACCACTTCCCTGCAAAGTAGGCCCCAAAAGCCACACTCCCAGACGCATCCCTAAATAACTTCAACTCTGGAGAAGAAACTGCTAACTCCCGAAAAAAAGACCCACCCATTAAACTCTCGAAGAAAAAACACCCAGACATCCAAATCAGCCTTCAAAGAAGCTGTGACCCCCAAAAAATTAATGAGTTGATACCACCCTCCCCCCCTAGTAGCCTTTGTCAAGAACCTGTTAAACACCCTACCAATGGGGATCAACTGGCATGCAAAATTCAACCGGCCAATCAAAGACTGCAATGCAAACCTCTTAAACCGCCATTACGAAGAGCAAGCAATTTGTCCTGCGACAAACAACAGTCTCCCTGGACAGAATCTATTTCCAAGCCCACAAACCACGAACCTGCTGTCTTATCACTTGCCAAAGGTACACAGAACACATGAGCCACTCATTCCATCGTTTTCAACACTTCCATTGTTTTCAACCCTAATTTCAACCCTACTCTGAACTAGAAGGCCTGATGCACAGGAAATGATCAAGATAATGGACCACAAAGTTCGTGCCTGCCTCGACTCTGACCACCCACTCTAAAAAAAGGTGCAGCATTTTTCAAAGTAGGCACAACAAATGGAACACCCCATGGACAAACAAAAATCCACAAAATATTTCTCCTCTAAATAGCATGATACATGTGATGAATCGGCAGAAGATGAAATGTCAATTCCACACCTCCCTTGGCCAACAGTGTTCCATGGCCTGCCCACCGATCCAAGTCAACTGCCTGATTGAATGATGCATGTGACATCGAACAGAGAGCTTTATCAATATCATCGTTCACAGATGATCCCTTCGGATATGAAAGACGGTGTATCAAATGGTACTTACAAGGTTCCTACTATGGTACAACACCCAATGGGGAAACCCTAAGCTTAGGTAGAGGGGGCCTCTCCATCCTTCCCAATTGGCCCTCTTAATGCAATTTTTCCCGCACCACCACTGGAAATTCACCTACTGACTTAAAATTATGAAATGACAATCCACCACCCTATTTTGTAAGGGGATAATGAATTCTTTACTAAAACCATCCCTAAGTAAAGTCGCATTGTCCTGGTTACCGTAACATCTTGCCGACTCTCACCGGCATTAACCCCAGCGGCAGTGGATGGGTCCGCACCTCCCGATGACCCCACTGCAGAAGCAGCCTTACCTCTTTTGAAGCACCGAAGAAATTCGTGGTCTCCTCCACAACCAGAACATTTGTGCTTAAACCGATATGTGCCCCCTTGTATTGGCCTTCATTGAAGAGCCAGCAGAAACCTTTTTTGTGGCTGGCCGACGAAGTAGAGGAGGATCCTGCGCCGGTCCCTGGCTCAAAGGGGGAAGCCTTCTGTGACATCATTATCTTCATGCATAGCGGCAGGTCCATTTGACCCCACTGCATTCCTGAATGGTCTACAAGCATTAAAGAAATTGTTCATCATAACGCCACCAGTCTAGACCCCCGTAAGTGTGATGTGCCTTCCACATACCATTTTGGGAACAAAACAACTGGGAACAACGCTCAGGAGACTTCTCGCCCATCACGCTAGCCAGAATACAAAAGTCCCTCAACCAATATACAAAAGTCTTGGGGATTTTACGATAGCGACGCTTCCTTTATCCTCCTCTTTATTGGTATCCTTTTTGTCATCCAGAGGGAGAAGCAAATAGATCTCCAGAAAATCCCATTTCCAGATACGTTCCTTCAATTCGGGCTTAAGATGACAATCCAAGGAAACATGTACGTTCTGACAAACTGCATCTGGGATAACCCCAATCAAATCTGCCTGCTTACTCCCCAAATCAATCATTGCCGAAAAAGCCGATCTTGCCACTGTATCGCCATCTGTGCTCTCCTCAGCAAAAAGGACCCCAAATGAGCTTGACCCAAAGCCTTCAGACCTAAGCACCCAAGCATGACTAAAATTCACATCCTTTCCCTTACCTGTACTCCAAGAATCTAAGAAACACTTTAAACCTTCTAAAACCTTCTAAAATCCCCAAAATGATGTACTGAAAGTTACTCACCAAGCCAAACCCCTTGCCGCTGAAGGCCGAGGGACTGTCACCCAAGATCCGCTGTCCTGACCCAAGCGCTGCGGTGCTTCGAACCGTACTTCCACATCGCACCTTATTCAAGGGCGATCGTCTTGGTGACCTCAGTCTCAACCGATCCGTGGGTGTCCATCTTGGTGACCTCACAGCACCCGATCTGTGGGTGACCGTCTTGGTGACCTGTAAGGAGAAGACATCCTGGGTAGGCTGACCGTACTAGCCCTGACTTGCCTTACCTCAAGTGGAAATGGTGAATCAAATCCCCAATGGCGTCCCGCCCCATGTGGCCATGAGCATGCACCAGCACAGATCTTATCCAGAGAACTCTCACTAGCTGATCTATACAGGCTACGCCTGCTGTTGGGAGCAAACTCACCCAGAGAATTCACAGCCAATTCCTCTGCTCTTCCACTCCAAGCAGCACCTCAGGCATCTTTAGATCCTGCTGCAAAGTTTGCTGTGTGTCCTGAACTGCTCCTACTGCCTGCTGTACGCATTAGGCGACATAGATTCATGGCTGCAATGTCCAACCATATCTAAAATTAGAAATTCACATCCTGAACATTTTGTCGCATATGAAACATAAAGTTTGCGGCCCGAACGCCCGGTTTCCTGAAAAACATCAAGTTCTTTGCCCAAACATTCGACCGCATGCATAAGCCCGCATTCACAGCCTGAACATATAGCAGTATTTGTGCCTCCTGCTTGATGACCCAAACATTCACCCGCATGCGAAAGGCCCAAAAGTTTGGTTGTATTTGTACCTCCTGTTTTGCAGCCTGAATGTTCAAACACAGCCTCATTCCTGTTGATACGGTGCGAAAATGCAGCCGCACACCGACGACTACCGACGACATATTCATTTTGCAGGACATTTTAGCCTGATATCCAGTCCAGGCCTGACTGAAAGCATCTCAGTAAATATTATCAGACATCTGGATTTGTGAATGAGCACTAGCTTTGCTTGAGTAAGCAATGCTTCTGACCAAAGAGGCCTTAAAGATGGCTTCCATATGGAGCAAAGGTAATTCAGGATAATGACTGAAATAAGGTATACAGAGGCCTTCCCTCGTCCCTCAAAACTGTAAAAGTGCCATGCTTGTTAAATCACATATAATCATGTACAGTAGTGTAGGATGGGTCGGGTGTCTGCATTTATATTCTTTCTGAGCTATGCAGAGTCACCGAAAGAAAATAGTACTTTCCTCAATGTGAAAACTGGGTGTGCGTGATGGAGATAAATGTGATGTAATTGGCTAAATGTAATTGTCTTTATTGCTTTGTAATATAAAACATTTAACCTGTGCACACATAGGGTAGGACAGGGCCGCCATCAGAAATTTTGGGGCCCCTGACAAAGCACAATGTCTGGGCCCTCCCCACTCCCCCACTCCCTCCCGGGACCGCCCACGCCCTACCTAGTCCGCTAACAATGATGCAGGACTGAATGTGTTGTGTATAGTGGAAGTGAATTAGAATGTGTGTAATGGATGTAGTGTTTGTGTGTATTAGATACTGTTTGTGCAGTGAATGCAGAGTGTGTGTTTGTGTAGCGGATGCAGTGTGTATAGTGAACGCAGAGTGTATTTGAGTAATGGATGTAGTGTGTGTACAGTGATGTAGTGTGTGTTTGTATAGTGGATGTAGTGTTTGTATGTACTAGATTAAATGTGTTTAGTGGATGCAGTGTCTGAAGTGGATGTAGTGTGTGTATTAGATGCAGTGTCTGTGTATAGTGAATGCAGAGTGTTTCAATTTGTGGTGGATGTAGTGTGTGTATTGTGAATACAGGATGTTTGTGTAGTGGATGCTGTGTGTATTGTTAATGCAGAGTGTATGTTAGTGTAGTGAATGCAGAGTGTGTGTCAGTATAGTGAATCCAGAGTGTGTGCATAGTTTAGTGAACGCAGAGTGTGTGTTAGTGTGTAAGGAATGCATAGTGTGTGTTAGTGTGTAATGAATGCAGAGTGTGTGTTAGTGTGTAGTGAATGCAGTGTGTCAGTGTAATGAATGTAGTGTGTGTGTCTGTAATGAATGTAGTGTGTGTGTTAGTGCAGTGAATGCAGAGTGTGTGTAAATATGTAGTGAATGCAGAGTGTGTTAATGTGTAGTGAATGCAGAGAGTGTGTTAGTGTGTAGCGGATGCAGAGTGTGTGTTAGTGTAGTGAATGCAGAGTGTTAATGTGTAGTGAATGCAGAGAGTGTGTTAGTGTGTAGCGGATGCAGAGTGTGTGTTAGTGTAGCGGATGCAGAGTGTGTGTCAGTATAGTGGATGCAGTGAGTGTGTTAGTGTGTAGTGTATGCAGAGTGTATGTTGTATTAGTGTATGCAGTGTGTGTGTTGTGTTAGTGTATGCAGTGTGTGTTGTGTTAGTGTATGCAGTGTGTGTGTGTTGTGTTAGGGTATGCAGTGTGTGTGTGTGTGTATGCAGTGTTTGTGTGTTGTGTTAGTGTATGCAGTGTGTGTGTGTGTTAGTGTATGCAGTGTGTGTGTGTTGTGTTAGTGTATGCAGTGTGTGTGTGTGTGTTGTGTTAGTGTATGCAGTGTGTGTGGTGTTAGTGTATGCAGTGTGTGTTGTGTTAGTCTATGCAGTGTATGTTGTGTTAGTGTATGCAGTGTGTGTGTGTTGTGTTAGTATATGCAGTGTGTGTGTGTTGTGTTAGTGTATGCAGAGTGTGTTGTGTTAGTGTATGCAGTGTGTGTATTGTGTTAGTGTATGCAGTGTGTGTGTGTGTGTTGTGTTAGTGTATGCAGTGTGTGTGTGTAACTGTGCAATGCGTAAATTAAATGTAAATGATATTCCCCCCTCCCTGCTTACCTGTGTCCAGGGAGGGGGGAGATTCCATCTGTGGTGGTCCGGTGGGGGGGGGCCCCCGGCTCCCTGTTACCGCAGAAGGGGCCCAGGCAGCACACAGCTTCTCCTTTCTTCTCTCTTCTAATAACTCTCGCGAGACCCGGTTACCATGGCAATGCTCCGCGGGTCTCGCGAGAGTGATTAGAAGAGAGAAGAGAGGAGAAGCTGTGTGCTGCCTGGGCCCCCTCTGCGGTAACAGGGAGCTGGGGGCCCGCTGCTGAACACATAGATCGCGATATTCGCTATCTATGTGTGCAGAGAAAGAAAGTGTGGTCCAGGACTGCCAGAGCAGTCCGGGCCCCTCAGAGCCGCCAGGCCCATGACAACAGTCATGGTTGTCACCCCCTGATGGCGGCCCTGGGGTAGGAATGAATTGCTTATAACCTTATGTAACCTCACCTAATCAAGTCCAGTTTCTGGAAGACCTTGACATTTTGTGTTTTTTTTTTTTAAGTTCTCTCGATGTTCTGTATTTATTTACACTTTGTTGCTATGTTGGATGTATGCGGTTTAAAGAAAAAAATATATGCAACTTGAGGTCAGTAAGGAATTCCCCTTCGCTGACAGTCAAGTTTCTATATATTTATACTCAGAGTGATATATTGGTTCTTACCAAACAACTTCTTGACATATATTAAGTCAGTAAGTAAGTTATTCACCACCCTATGTGATAACACTTAAACAACATGGGGCATTTCTAGGTGTAAAAAAACAGGGACTTCAGCCCAAGGGGAAATTTTATGGCCCATTACACATATATTGACTTAAGAAACATCTGAAGCCAGTCTCATCCATGCCCTACATTCAATCCTAAACCTCAATGTGTTCTATAAATCACATTTTGACACCAAATCTTTGATTTAATTCAGACTATTTATTAAATTTATAAACTTCATAAACTCCAAGGCTGTAATAACTCTTTACTTCACTACATTAAAACCCTGCACCCTCAGCAATCCTCGCCATGTGCTGTATAGTTAAAGGGACACTTTAGTGACCAAAACTGCTTTAACCTAATGAAGCATGACCCTGCAGTCTCACTGCTCAATTCTCCATATTTTAGAAGGTAAATCACATTGTTTATGCAGCACTAGGTACACCTCTCTCCATGTGACTTACACAGCCTTCCTAAACTCTTCCTGTAAAGAGTCATCTAATGTTTACACTTCCTTTATTGCAAATTCTGTTTTATTTAGAATTTCTTATCTCCTGCTCTGTTAATGGCTTGCTAGACCCTGCAGGGGCCCCCTGTGTGTGATTTAGGTTCCATTTACAGAGCAGGATATACATTTTTTTTACCGTAAGTAACATCTGATTGAAAATGAAACGATTTTTTTTGTCAGTCACAGTCAGGTGAGGGTGGCTAGGGCTACATAAACAAAAACAAAAGTTATTTAAATCCCAAATGGCAGAGAATTGAACAGTGAGACTGCAGCTGCATGATCTGTACACAAAAACTGCTTCATTAAGCCAAAGTTGTTTTGGTAACTACAGTGTCCCTTTAACTCCAAATATTTTGCATTAAAGGACCACTCTAGGCACCCAGACCACTTCAGCTTAATGAGGTGGTCTGGGTGCCAGGTCCAGCTAGGGTTAACCCCTTTTTTCATAAACATAGCAGTTTCAGAGAAACTGCTATGTTTATGAATGGGTTAAGCCTTCCCCTATTTCCTCTAGTGGCTGTCTCATTGACAGCCACTAGAGGCGCTTGCTTGCTTCTCACTGTGATTTTCACAGTGAGAGCACACCAGCGTCCATAGGAAAGCATTATGTATGCTTTCCTATGTGACCGGCTGAATGCGCGCACAGCTCTTGCCGCGCGTGCGCATTCAGCCGCATGGGAGGAGAAGAGGAGGATCGGAGGAGGAGAGTTCCCCACCCAGCGCTGGAAAAAGGTAAGTTTTAACCCCTTTCCCCCTTCCAGAGCCGGGCGGGAGTGGGACCCTGAGGGTGGGAGCACCCTCAGGCACTATAGTGCCAGGAAAACGAGTATGTTTTCCTGGCACTATAGTGGTCCTTTAACATTATACCATATTATATAATAGTAGGTGATATTTCTCTGTCAGTATTAAAGGGGACTTAGAGCTAATAGTAAATGGTGTCAAAATGAAACCCAGGGTTTTCAGGACCCCTGTTTGGCCCTCCCCCATTCCTCCAAGACTCCTGTAAATAACCCATCAACATAATATCAGGCAGCTTTAACCCCTTAAAGGGACACTGTAGGAACTGTATCTGCTTCATCTCATTAAGCTGGTTATAGTGTATGGAGTCCCCTGGTGCCATCATTTCTTTCAGCATTAAACAGTTTTTAATGTTGTAATGTTTT